TATTTGACTCGTCATCTGATGCCATTTGTGATTTCTAGATGAAAAAACTCCAAGTTCAAGTGACCAGTCTGAAGACATCAAACGAGAACCTTCAGAAACAAAACGAGGAGATGATCAGTAAACTCAAAGAAGTATGTCTGTTTGCAGACAGTAATTCCTTTTTAATCAAACCCTTTGGTGTTATGTAAACGTACATTATAATGAAGGCACTCGGAGTGAAAATGAATGGTTGGATTTGAACTTGTTTTAGGCCAAGGAGCAACACGCCAACATGGAGGAGAAGTTACGAAACGAGCTCAATACCAACATTAAGCTTTGCAATTTATACAAGGTATGTACACGTGCAAAATGAAAGCATGTGCTGTGGTACTCTGTACTTCTGGACCATTATTTCCAAGTTTGCATTAGTAAATTATTACGTTACATTATGATTGCAGCGCCCGTGATCAACAACTTCTAAATTTGTTACCAGGATTCAAATTGAAAGAGTCAAAGTGTTTATTGTCATGTGTCACAAGAGAAAAGGCATTTCTTTGTGCAATGAAATTCTTTCTTTGCTGTCCACCCACAGATGCCGGTTAATTATTGTTTGTGTGTTCTTGGCTCAATAAAATTGTTATAGGGAACTTGTGATTTAAAAACATAATCTTTGAGTGTTTACATAGTTAATTAAAATGCCTGCATGTATTTGCTCGGCTTCTGTGCCGGTGTTTGTTATACTTCACCGTTTATCCTGGCAGGGAGCAGCTGCAGATTCTGAGGCCAAAAGCAAAGAGCTGAGTCAGGCGGTGGAGGAGCTGCACAAGCTGCTGAAAGATGCCGGTGAAGGTAAAAGGCTCCTCTGTGATCATGTTTTCTATCCTAGAAGGACAGAAGATGTTCAGTTTGTTTGCTCGTGTAGTTGCAGGTGGTTAGGATTTTAGAGTCTTTGTTTTGTCTTCCCTCCTTGACAGCCAACAAGGCTTTTGAGGATAAGTTGCAGGAAATGAACGGCGTCACAGACAAAACTGTCGGTGAGTTAAAGGACAGGATCCAGGGCCTTGAGAAGGAGCTGGACAATGCCAATGAACTGCTGTCAAGTTCCAAACTTAGAGGTCAGTTGAGTTGATTTTTATTCCTGTCTTCATTTCATTGACATGCTGATTATTTGTAGGCAATGCAAAATTAATTTTCTGGAACTTCAGCCAAGCCTTGCGTGGATTTATTTTATTTATTTATTTTTAACCCTTTAAAACCGGTCGGAGCGGACACGCTCTGTTTTGCGTAACTATTTTTTAAATCCCGGTAGCTCTGCAACCACGTGAGCTAGCGCAAAAAAGTTTTTTGCATATGAAACCGGAGGAGTTGTACTTACATCTTATGCCATCAGCTTGTCCTCGGTCACAGTTTCCTTCCACATATATCTTTGCAAAAACTGCATAAAAACCACTTGCAGCAACAAAAACATAATATTCCAGAAACACGCTTTGCCGATCCGATCAGCTGTTCATAACACTTCCTATGTTGGATTAGACGTCAGCGCGAACTTTTGCATGTCCTCCATGACCTGCCCGAAACCGGAAGTGACGTCATTTTGCAGAAATGTAGTTTTTTACCATCAGGGCCTCATGAGCCTATACTGGTGTTTTTAAAAGTTATGTTTGACTTTATGACTTTCTGTGTCGTTTCTGGGATGCTTAGGACTCATATTGCACTGCTGGAAATAGTTTATTTTGATGCATATGCTGCTTTTTTGCAAATTTGCATTATAATATTTATTTTCGTTTTTCCTGCAGTGTATAAAAATTGGTGTATTTCAAAAATAAAACTATGAAGACACTTAAAATAAATTTCCTGTGGTGGGAAACTATTTTGTGCAACTTTTTTGTATTTACAGTTTTGAGGGATAAGCCTCTTAAATTTCTCTAACTAGAAATATATGTTAAAAAAACAAAAACGATTTTCAATTTTTTTGTAGTTTATTGCACTTTTTTGCAATTTATGTAATTACTATGCACTTAATGCAGACATATTATTAAAATCTGGGCTGTAATGGTTGTATTGATGTATAGCAACTTGAAATGCTCCCAAAAATGGCTCCACAGCATGTAAACATATAATATAAGCTCTGGTGGACTTGGTTCTATGGTAGGTCTTAAAGGGTTAATGTGATCATTTGAACTTTCTTTGTCTGTTCAGGCCCTGTTGCCTCAACATCCATTCTGACAGAAGAGCAAATGACAACAATGTCTCCAACAGCCGCTGCTATATCCAAGATAAAACCTGGTATGAAGCTGACTGAGGTGCGTACAGCTCAGGTTTCAGGCTCAAATTGTTGACTTCATTACAAATTTCATTCCTCTAGAATTGTGTGTCCTGCTTGTTCGGATTTCTTACCGACGTGTGTTGAACTAACAGCAAGATGTTTGATTATCATGTCTTCAGTTGTATACAGCATACGTGGAGAGCCAGGAGCAGCTGCAGTTGGAGCGGTTGGAGAACAAGCGAGTCAACAAGTATCTGGATGACATTGTGCAGGAAGTGGAAGCGAAAGCCCCCATCCTGAAAAGGCAGAGCGATGAGCATGAGCGCATGCAGAAATCAGTGGCCAGCCTTTCTGCCAAGCTGGAGCAGGCTGTTAAGGTTTGTAATGGAGCCGCGTTGTTTGCGTGATCAAATAGATTTTTGCTGCTTTTTAATTGACAAGAAAACCGTAAACAGTGACTGCTAATAAGAAGCAACGCTCGAGCTTTCCGTTCATGTTTGTTACAGGAGGTTCACCGCCTGCAGAACGAGGCCGACGAGGCCAACAAGCGCTCCTCGGTCCTGGACAGAGACAATCAGAGATTTGAGCTTCAGCTCGCTGACATGGCTCAGCAGGTGGGTTCGTACTTTTCTTTGTGTGGATAAACTTTGTTAGTTTGCAAAATAATGACCGAAATAATCAAATCACTCAAATAAAATTTCTCTAATACCCCTTATCCTTTCTTTTAGGTTCGCGTGCTGCTGATCGAGCTGGAAGAAGCTCGTGGGAACCACGTGATTCACGAGGAGGAGGTGAGCTCAGCTGATGTCAGCAGCACGTCAGAGGTGATCAGCCAACACTTGGTGACTTTCCGTAGCGTGGAGGAGCTTCAGAAGCAGAACCAGCGTCTTCTCGCGGCCCTCAGAGATCTCAGTGAAGCCCAGGAGAAGGAGGAGCTTGAGGCTACCGGCAATAAGTATATTACAATGTTTACTGACTTTTTTATTTATTTATTTAGCCAGAGTTTTGCATCTAACCTAAAATATTATCTCACCTTTTTCCCCACAATGAACTGTCTCAGGCACAGGGAGCTGGAGCAGAGTTTGGAGAAGGCCCAGGCTGAGCTGGAGTCTCTGAGAGAGCAACGCAGCCAGCAGATAAAGATGACCGAGTCCATTGTGAGGCAGAGGGACATGTACCGAGTCTTACTGGCTCAGGCGACCGGAGTCAACTTCCCACAACAAGGTGAGAACATGAACACTTGCATCTTGAAAACCATAAGCGAATACTGTTTATAGAATTCGATACACTAATTTCACAGCAGTTTTACACGTTACACAGAATTTTAATATTTGAATATTTGAGTTTGCATGTCGTCCTCGTGTTTGCATGAGTTCGCTCTGGCGTCCTCCCACAGTGCAAAGACATGCAGTTAGTGTGGTCGGGTTAACTGGAAACTCTAAATTGCCCGAAGGTGAGAGCGAATCGAATGTCTGCCTCTGTGTTCGCCCTGTGACAGACTGGCGACCTGTCCAGGGTCTACACTGCCTCTCCGCCCCCCTGAAAAACATAAGCAGAAGAGCATGGATGAATATTTGATTGTTTATCCACCAGGTACACCATCTGAAGAATTCTCCCTGACGTCTACCCCACGTCGTTCCCCCGCGGCCACTCCCACCGCAGGAACACCCACCGCTCTTGTTTCCATGGCCACAGAGTCTGCTGAGGCGTTGGAGGCCAAGGCGGCTCTGCGACAGGTGAGCTCAATTTGCCTGAAAATATTTATTTTTCACTATCAGGACCTACTTTTAAAGAATTATGATAGTTTAGCATGAAGCAGTTTTCATGTCTATAAGTCTGCGTTATTACTTAAAGATGGTTTTCTGTGGAGCGATATTCCATCAGCAGCTCGCCTTTCTTCATTAAAAGCTCGGGACTTTGCATCGTGTTGCTCGTGCCGGCCACCAGATGGCACTGTGCCCACATGAAGACGTTTGTAGGTCTCTCTGAATCACACACAGCGGTGCAGTGTGTTTATTGGCTTTTAAATGACTGCTTAGATTCTGTCAAACGTTGGATGGCTGTAAATTCCCTCCAACTCAACGAGTGAAAACTGAAGTCCTCATATGTGACAGATTTGTATCCCAGATAGTGAAAGCCCTTGGTCCTCTTTCTGTGTATGTTAAATCCTCTATCTGGTGTCACTTTTGACTCGACTGGATGGGCATGTGAAATCTCTGCTTCAGTCTTGTTGTTATCATTTAAGAAATGTGGCCGAGTTAAGCCCGATTTGATCTCGCCCTGAACTGGAGATTGCTATACATGCATTTATTTCCTCACTACTGTAACTCTTTGTTTATGTGTCTAAGCGAAGGTTCCCTGGATCGTCTGCAGGTTGTGCAAAACGCTGCAGCGAGGCTGTTGACAAAATCCTCCAAGTATTCTCATGTGACACATTGCTGTTTCAGCTACACTGGCTTCCTGTTGAATTTCAGTACATTTTAAGATCCTGGTCTTGACATTTAGAGCCTTGCATGGACTGGCACCATCTGCTACAGCCCGATGTCCCCAGCAGGTCCCTGAGGTCATCTGATCAGGGCTTACTTGCTATAAAACAGACTAAGATGAGAACTAAGGAGAGCTTTTGCCACCGTGGCCCCGAGACTGTGAACTCTCTCCCTCATACATTAAGAACTGTGGACCCGGCCGCGGTTTTAAAAAAAAAAACCAAAACTCACCTTTTTAAATTTCTGCCTGTTTTATATTGTCTGTTTTACCCTTTTATTATTTGTTATCTTATGTGCATCACTTTGTGACTCTGTCTAGAAAGGTGCTATATAAATACAATTGTATTTATTTATTTACTAACACCTCTATCAAAGTCAATAAAATGTCTGGTTTCTTTGCAGTTGCAGGATGTCTTCTCCACCTATAAGAAGGAGCGTGCGGAGAGCGAGAAGACAATGACCGAACAGAACGAGAAACTCCAGGAACAGCTCTCGGAGCTCCGCTCCCAGAATGCCAAGATATCCACACAGCTAGAGTTTGCTTCCAAAAGGTAATTTAAAAAAATAAATAAGTGTGTGTGTGTGTGTGGGGAGCACATGAACTCTTCAGGGGAAATATCCACTGTTAAAGTCAAACATTTAATCACAAGGACATCAGTCAGCAGAAGTGACGTCAGCTTTTTACGCTCTCAGGTATGAGATGCTGCAGGACAATGTTGAGGGCTACAGGAAGGAGATTGCTTCACTGAGAGAGAAAGGACAGAAGATGGAGGCTGCCACGCAAAAGCTTGAACAGACCGTCCACACGTTGAATGAGGATCTTAAAGAGTCCAAGGAGAAACTCGCCATGGCTGAGGTTTGCCCCATATCCAGTGTCATATTTGTGCTTCGGATCACTTTGGAGTTGGACGTGTCCCTGTCCAGGATATACTGAGACACGTACTGTAAACTGAATCTCATCCACCTTTTCAGGGCCGCGCTGAGAACTTGCGTAAGGAGAGAGACATGCTGAAGCTGGTCGAGTCCCGGCTGAATCAGGAGAAAGAGACGATTGTGAGCCAGCAGCAGAGCCAAAACCTGCTGCTGACCAACCTCCAGGCTATTCAGGTTATTTTGTTTCTGTCAGTGTCTGACTGTCACATCTTCACGTAAACAAAATTAACATTTTCTGTTCTTTTAGGCGACTCTGGAGCGCTCCGAGGTCGACACACGTCAGCGTCTGAACAGCCAGTTAGAGAAACAGGAGCGAGAGATCTCGCAGCTACAGAAGAGGCTCGAACAAGAAGTGGAGCAGCGCCACCTGCTCAGCAGAAACCAGGAAGTAGGCATCCAATAAAACAGTTTCTATCATCTTTTGTAGGCCAGAGAAGGATGCAGATATAGTGCTAATGATTTTCTTTTTTTCATACGCACAGATCCAGTTAATGGATGCAAAGAGGCAGTTGGAGGCACAAGTCGCCTTACACCAAAAAACAAAAGAACAACTTAATGCCGCCGAGTCTGAGCTCAACGCCCTCAGGATGCAGCAAGGCAGCATCGAAGGGCGTCACATCCTGAGCTCCCCCTCTACACCGAT